CGAGATCTTTAATGACACCACCTATGCCACATCCTATATCCGCGCATGATTTGCCTTCCTTCAACCCTAGTCGCTCACCAATTTTCCTAGAATGTTGTCAAGTATTACAGATGAATAAATACACATATTACCAACCTATGTAAATCTGCAAGAGCTTCTTCCAATGTCATACTTGTTTTCCTTGGTGGAGCGAAATGGAAGTTGCCTAGAATGTATGAGTTAAAAAATCTGGAAAGAATTCAACTATAAGTGTTCGGCTTGCGAATAAAAAGATATCCATTTTTTCTCTTGATTCCATACTCTTGAGTAGAAAATGGATTGAGCAATTGAAAAATTCTGCAACTTTTACTACGAGGTAATCGCATTCCTGTTTTGTCTGTTTGATGTTCAAATCTTGAAAAATAATTTGTATCTTACGATGTCACCACCGCTACTTGAACAATTGCATATTTTTCCAAAAGAGTAACACAGAACAAGATGAATTGATTCGATGCTTACCTCCAAAATATTCGTCGATTACAGCAGACATTACAGAGTAATAATGAGATGTAACAGCCGAGTGATCTCCACTTTGCTTTGCTTCTGCGAACAGTCGATCATGTTGCTCAGCGAAATCTATCTAAAAACTATTTTTCTGAACATGGTGAAATGGCCGCATGTAATTTTTAAGGCGAGTGGATCAGATATGAAAAAACAAGTACTTAAAACCACCTCCATCTTCTTTTTTGTAACCTCAGTTCAAAGAGGAGCATCGAAAAAGGGGCAAAAGCATATAGCGAAATAAGGCTGCACACTTCGCTGTTAAGAATCCCATTTATCAGTCAAGGAAACCCATGTAAGTTTTCTTCCAAACTTGACGATTTCCGATGATTTGCTTTATGAAAGTTTGCAGCTGGCGATTAACTGCTTGTGGTTGCATTGAAATTTTTCTAGGGCTGAGTAAATAGAAACATACAGGAAGAGACAAAAGTATAGGCCTTCATGGCTTGTGTCCACAAAGAACGTTCAAATCATGTTCTAGATGTTCATGTTGTAACTTTTAAGTGCGATGAAGCGATACTAAGTAAGAAATCACGGAACTGTTTATTGGAGTTCGATTTTTTCTAGGGATGCTTGATCTGAATGCTAAATTCTATCTGTGACCGATCACATAACCATTTTACCATTTTCTCATTTTACATTTGCGATTTTCACATTCTAAACGTTAGGTAAGACTTTTCTGGATAACAGCGAGAATCCCCGTCTTTACTTTTACCCATAATTTCGCGCAGAACCTTGATCTAGGCATGA